TAAGGAGAAGGAAAAGGAGAAGGAGAAAGAGGAGGAGGAGATTGCAGAAGAAGGGAGGAGAAGGATAAGGGGGAGCATGAGGACGAGCAGGAGGAGGAGAATGAGAACCAGAAGAAGAACCAGAAGCAGAAGAAGGAGAAAGAGGAGGAGGAGGGGGAGAAGGAGGAGAACAAGGAAAAGAAGAAGAAAAAAGAAAAATAAGAAGAAGGATGAGAATGAGGGAGAAGCAGAAGCAGAAGAAGGATGATGAGAAGGAGAAGCAGAAGAAGAAGGAGGAGGATGAGAAGAAGAAGAAGAAGAAGAAGAAGAAGAAGAAGAAGAATGAGAAGAAGAAAGAGGAAAATGAGGAGAAGAAGAATGAGGAAAATGAGGAGAATAAGAAGGAGAAAGAGAAGTAGAAGGAGGAGGAGAAAGAGAAAAGGAGAAAGAGAAGAAGAAGATGAAGGATAGGAAGAGGATGAGGAGCAGAAGAAAAAGAACGAGGAGGAGAAATATGAGCGGGTGGGAGGTTTGTAAAGAAGAAACATAAGGGTGTGAAGGGTTTGTGTGTATGCTATTAAAGAATGAAAAATGAGGTTTTTTATATGTTTGTGTGATATCGATTTTCATTAAAAGTACGAAATGTCATTACCTATTTATTATTTAGAGGGTATTGAAATAAAAAAAACATTTGATATTTGAAATAGCCATCCCCTTTGTTAAAATTTGTATTGATTATTATCTAATAACATATATTTTTATATATTGAATTTCACATATATATTTTAATATTATTAGATAGATTTTTCATTACAATTTGTATTATAATTTTTTTATACAATAATTTTTTTCCATTGTGAAATTCGAACCCGTGCAACGCACGGGCACGACTACTAGTATTTTTTAAAGTTTGAATTTTTATTTACTTATTTCCAAATCCAATTAACAAAATAATAATAAAATGTATTTTTTTTATACATAAAAAATAAACCAATTGGTGTCCAAAAAACCCACGTTGAGGGTCGTCACGTAACCGCATATATACTTACTTACCTGGCAGGCAAGTTAGAGGAAAGCCATATGCATGCACTACTATCATTACAAATATTAATTATATATGTAATAATTATTATTTTAGGCAAGTAAATGAAGTAATTTAATGAAGTAATTGAGGATTGGAATTCAAACACGGCGCACAACCTATTTTAGGTTTTTAAATTTATTTGAAAAACGATGAAACTTTTATTACGTCATATGTTCCATATTAAATGTCACTTTGAATAAATATATATATATATATATATATATATATATATATATATATATATATATATATATATATATATATATATATATATATATATATATATATATATATATATATATATATATATATATATATAAAA